TCAGTCTGCAGGCCGATGCTCTATCCACTGAACGAAACCCATTAGGGTTGAAACAATGTGTTTTATCTTAGTGCTCACTTAGTCTGATTTATGAAACAATACTTCAATGCTGTTCTATAGTAGCTGATATGTCAGATTTGTATTTTATGCAATAACTCAAAGTGAGAAGACAAAATCATGCCACTTTAGCCATAGCTCCTTGGCTTTTGTACTCAGATCACTATTTAAAAACCGTAAGCATCCTAGCTGGAGTGGCTCAGTTGGTTGAGTGTTGCCCTGTGCACCAAAAGGTTGTTAGTTCAACTCCCGAACTTAAACACAGCCATACCCGGGTTGTGGGTTTGATCCCTGGTCGGGGAGTGTTCGGAAGGCAACAGATCCAGGTTTCTCTCTCATATCGATGTTTTTTTCTCTCTCCCCCTTTCCTCTAAGCATGTCCTTGGGTGAGGATTAAAAATAAAGTAAATTAATTAATTAATTAATTAAATAAAAGCCATATATAATCAGCATCTGTTCATTGTTCAAGGTCATGAGTAGCAGCTGCAGGGTTTTTGCCCCCTCCTGATAGAATGATACTGTGAGTAGGTAAGATGTGTTTGAGGTATGAATGTACAAAATACTGGAAGGAAATCTTGGATTCTGTTTCACTCCTAGATAGATCATCATCACTGGTTGTCCCTTCCATTCACTGGATAACATGGAATTTTTTGGATGATTTTTGGTCAGTTCCCTGACATCACTGAGAGCTTTTACTTGGGTATTAAGTATTTAAAATTTTCTTGGCATTCAGAGATAAGGAGAAAAGCCTTAGCATCAGGGAGAAAAACGTTCTCTTTTCAAAAAAACCCATAAAAATGACTTCAAAGAATTGAAGAAAGATACAAAAAAGCAAGTTAAAACAGTTAACAGAGACTTGACATTTATTGTGCAATTTTATCTCCAACAGAACATGTGGCATTCTAGAGGTATATGAGGTAATAAAATCAATACTCCAATTAGAACACCTGAAATAACTGGCTCTAGTAACAAATGTTTCTTATAATTAAAAATATTAAATGCTTAAAAAACTCTTATTACATTTTAATTTCCTAAAAGAAATGCGCCTAACACTTAAAAAACAACTTACTCTTCTATATAAATTGTTCACAAAAAAATCTTGCTATTCTATATTACACTATGCATTTATAGTTTTATTAACTTGTCCCTAGTGGGCGTTAACTCTACACGGTACAATCAAATAGAAGTGATTCATAGAGAATCAACCAAGACTCCAACAATAAAAATATCAGGATCAATGGATTTGTCACAGTTTCTCCACAAGTGTTCATCATAGAAAACAGAGTAAAGGCAAGTTGGCCCCAGTGTCTGGCTGCTACATGGAATTCCAGAGGAGAGACATAAAGGCAATGCTTAAACGGGGGAGGGGCCGGCCGGGCCAGAGACTTGGAACGTTTCAGGACCCATCTCTGGGTTTGGCATGCCCTGTTTCCAAGAAACACAAGCCACGCCTTTCTGGCCTTGACATGCTCTTGAACTTAAACACAGACAGAGATGTTAAAGCCACAACCACAGGAAAGAATCAACAGGTTACTGTATTTTCCTACAAAATCTTCACAACAGTTTTCACAGTGACATCAAAAATTAAAACCCTCTTTTCCAACCAGACTCATCAGTTCTAAGGCTACAACACATGTGAGAAGCAAATGGAACATTGGCTAACTGATGTCGTTTCTAACATCTAGGAATTCACCCCCAAAATATCACTTTGCTCAGTTTAAATTTTTGCTTTTATATCCCTGCATTTTTATACTGGGAAAGTATGGAATAAATCTGAACAAATAAAAGATTTAAATTTATTCACTACTTTTTAAAAAGACTTTTTACTCTTCATCATAGGGTCTTAAGTAAGTGAACCCTTATGCAGAAACCTTGGCAGTTCCCAGAGGATATATGGTTATGTGCTCCTACTTAAGCATCAACAGACTTTAAAAGGTGGTTTTTAAATAATAACACATATCAACTTACCCTCGATGGCATAAACAAAAGAACAAATCCATTCCAAAGGGTTGGGCTTTGAGAACTTTGACTAGGCATTCTGCTTAATGAGCCCAAATTGATCCTTTTATTAGCTGAGCATCCCAGGCAGTGTCCTTATCAATAAAATGGTGATAACAGCAACAGCCTTAGCAAAGCACCTGGCACACAAGAACTCAATGAACATTAGCGATAGTCATTACTGTTGTCAGCGGTTTTGGATGGGCCTCAGTTTTCCAACAAGGCAAAGACCCATGGGGCCACTTGTACTGGTGCAGTTATTCTGAGAATGAACTGGTGTTCGAACAAGTCTCATTAGCAGATGTATTTTCATTGCAATCTGGGGAAGAGTGATTCAGTGAAAATCTAGCCCTTATATTACCAGCTATGGATGGTTACGAGAAAAATTAAACTGGTCACTTTTACCACAAATATTGGTAATTTAGAGGTTTCAATAGCCAAACTGATCAAGCTAGTCATTAGATGAGCAAAGTCCTTTCTTTCAATATCTTTTACAAATGAATATACAGTGGAGGGTAAAAATGTTCTCTCACTTGCAAATATATGTTACAACTTTAAATTTTACATATGAGGAGGCAAATATGGATGGATTATTGTTTTTGCCCTCCACGTTGTCTGGTATCAATTCCTCATTCTCTTCTGAAAAACACAAATAGAAGAGCCAGTGCCACTGGCTGACAATGCAAGAGGGCCATCAGCTGGGTGACATTTTCCTAATTATTCTAAGCAAAGTGGTTATTTTTATCCAGTACTTATACCACTGCAAGAAGCATGTTTACAAAAATATATCATAATGATACACACTGCTGTTTAGACACATTTACATTAGAATTCTGACTCAAGCATTCCGTTTGACATGTTTTGCCAGGCAGTTTTGGTTAAGTGTTGCCACATTAAACAGACATCAGCCAGACTTGCACCATATGTGCAAAATCATTTTCTATTACATTTCTAAAAATTTGTATCTGAGCTGTCAAATATCACACAGCTCTGTACTGTGAAATGACACAGTACTGAATGAGAAGTTATACATTTAAATATTTTCTAAAAACGAAGTTACATAAGAATGAGATTTTTTTAAATGATTAAGATCTAAGAAAAAACTAAGGAGGTAGTCAGTGGGTATTAGGTTCAAGTTCTGGAGCACAGAATAAATGACAGAACCTAAATAAAGGCTATGTTATGTTTGCTTTTCTGAAACTAGTGCACATTTCATCTTATTTGATGCTTCATCCATATTCTGACAGCAACAGAAGGGAGGGAAAGCCATTAAAGGTGGCAGAAAAATATAGAAATCATGAACGTGCAGACTCCCAAGCTTGGAGTACTGTCCAGATTTGGGGAAAGCATCTGACATTTACTGGACTGAAGAAACCATTCTACTGATATTGGACACATGGAGTAGTTAGATCAAATATATTGTAATAATTAAACCTCTCTCTAATCCTAATGAAGGTATCTCTAAGGTCAACGTTTTTATGACTTGGGAAGGGCTAAGCAAGACCCAGACTATACAAGGATCCACATCTACAGCTGTGAAGCAGCTCCATGTACCTCTGATTCCCCTACCGAAGGGGGTGACGGCAATCTTCTGCAAGCCCTGATTTAAAAATCAGGTGCCCACGCAGGCAACCACCATGAACCAGCTACGATACTAGCCTTAAAGGGGAAGCCTAGAGGATGGCATGGGACACGGACCAAGGAGCCAGCAGAATATCTAAGCAGATCCTGTGTCACAGCCCAAGCGTGCTGTAGCCCCTGGGTGGGCTGGGCTAAAGGAATAGGGGATACACGGGCAGTGAAGAACATAACAGAACATCTGACCAGGGGCAGGGGATCCCAGGTCCTAGTTCCAGGAGAGGCATCAGAACGGGCTGTCTGATGCTCAGTCATCTTTCTGGGCCAATATGAAGTTCCAGCATTTTGCAATCTGTGAAATACTGGAGAATAGCTGATACAGAAATAATTCACCTGGAAAGGGGATGAGAGGCAAGAGACCAGGTGAGCCTTTGGAGCAAGGATGTGTGCAACCAGGTGGCTGGGGAGCAGAGCCTTCCCAGGCGCCTTCTTCAGGGGATGGTAACGGGAGTGGGGCCAGCACTTCGTTATCAGCACGCTGGCACATAAGGCCATGGAGAGTGCAGACATGCTCTCAGCGTCACCATCAGCGAAGACCAGCACAGCACAGATGAGCACACACCAGGTGATGCTGAGAGATGAAGCTGTGTGTAATTCTCAAGATTACAGAAAAATGGTAAGAGCTGATAGCTTTTAAAAGCAGTGGGCAGCCCTAGCAGGTTTGGCTCAGTGGATAGAGCGTCAGCCTGCGGACTGCAGGGCCCCAGGGTGTGATTCCAGTCAAAGGCACCTGCCTTGTTTGCCGGTTCCCTGGCCCTGGTGGGGGTGCATGCAGGAGGCAACCAATAGATGTGCCTCTCTCACATCGATGTTTCTCTCTGTCTCTCCCTCTCCCTTCCACTCTCTCTCTAAAAAATAAAAGCAGTGGTCAAATATTGCTGCTATACAAAAAATAAGGGGAGAGGGGACATGTACTCAGCAGTATGGATGACAAAATCCAATGCAAAAAAAGAAAAAGAAAGATGGATTGACAGATGAGGTTATGGTGGTTATTTTTCTTCTGGCCAAGATTTCATGTCACCAAAGAATCTTACAAAATACTGATTTCCTAGACCTTTAAAACTCTTCAAGAAGTACCTTTTTCTTTGTGTAGCCCAATATTAGTCGCATGGTTCCCATACACAACATCCCATTTGCCCTTATCATTTCTTAAAAACAAACAAACAAAACCTCTCAAAATTTTAGGTAACTTTTCCAATATAGGATCAAAATATTAGTTCTCCCCCCCACAACTTTACAGGTCTGACAAATGACCATCTCTATAAACATTAAACTTTTCAGAGCTTGAAACTATTTAAAAAGCTAAAGATGGACCTATTTCTAGGCCTTTGCAATTTAGTTGATACAAATTATTGAACATAAAGGAATATTATTTTACTTAAACAAAAAAATGGGAAAAATAACTACTTTATAAATGGATGCTCATAAACTTTAAATGAATTTCCAAAATCTTTATAGTCCCGTCCGTAGATGACATTAACAGCCTTCAACAATGCTGTCCACTCAGCCCTTTGCTTACGAAGGATGTGGCATTAGCATTAGTCTGAGGTCCAAACCTCTCCTGAGGTCCAAACCCGAGGCCCTCAGAACTGGTCCTCGCCTCTCTGCAGCATTTGGGTAAGAAATGGCTCCAGACACTATGATTTCACACGTGAGACTCAACCAATCAGCTCAGGGGAATATTGGGGGAAGCAGGCACTCACAGTTGGGAAGAAACAATTTTCATCAGTGACAACGAGAAACAGAAGTTTTATGCAAATTCTAAAGATCAACTGAGCACAGAAAGACCCTCAAGTTTCAGAGAAATTAGACAAGCCCATTGCATAGTTGCCAGAATGGCCTTGAGGCTGTGTATATGCAATTCCAGAACATCTGGTCAACTCAGTCAATACCATCAGCCACACCACTTGTTTGGTCTTCAGTGCACCAAACAACTGGCTGAAATTCTCATTGTTTAACCCGCCACTTTGGCATTGTGTCAACTGAGCCTGACTTTAGGTTAATGGAACCTACAAAATCAAGCATTTAACAATGGTTGGGATCTTTGGATGTTTCTTGACTGACATAATGAAAACTATTACTCTCTGTAAACTCCAGAGATCACCTAGTGCCTTCCTGATCAACATGGTAGGACTTTTTTGGTAAAAATAATTGAGAAAAATAGCTGACTTTCAACTAATCACTGTCTAGAGATGGCTGCTGTTCTCTGGTTTCTATTTAATAATAGGCTCTGTCAATGGAGACACAGCATATTATGTCACCTATCTGATGTCTTTGCTGAGAAGCATGAATTCAAGTCTTTGGAAAACATAAAAATGACATATTTCAATTAAAGAGAATGCTTGTTCCATAGTAACCCATGTCTCTACCTTCCCTCATGGGCAGGAACGCAGCCCAATCTCCCATAAGGACCAGCTCTGCGCAGGAAGCAAAACTTACATGAAGATTTCAGACAAGTGACCAGGAGTCTGTCTCCACCCCCTCATCCTCACCATGTAATCTTTTAAAATCAATGGTAGCTTTTACTTTTTATAATATAGTATTCTGAAAATCTGTGGTAGGCTGCACAGACTTTGCCAACAAGCCTAAAATGGATTTCGATCTGGGAACTGCGGCAGAAGGTCAAGAGAGTTAAGACTGAGGATGTGCATTCTGACAGATGCCACGCTGTGGGCTCTACAGTGATGGAGACAGGACAGTCACCATGGCGACTCTGGAGAGGACCGGCTGCTGCAATGGAGGTTTTGTCCACTAATCCCCGGACCCATCCTGGGAATTCTTACTGAAGACTTCATCCTGGGAGGCCTGGTGATCGATCCCTTCATAAAACGAGCCACCATTGTGCAGGAAAGTCCCCACTGCGCGCCCCTGCCGGGCGTGACCCACAGCATCGCTGAACACTTTGTTTATCTGCTCCTCCGAGGGCATCCACCAGTCGGGGTTGGAGGTACAGTGCATCCTAATGAATTCTGTGGGAATATACACAATAAAGAGAGAAACAGCTGGTTTTTGCAGAAGATGGCAGAAGAGGCTGCTTTTACGTTAACAGAAGCTCTTGAGAAAAGCTTTATGAGAACTCCAATGCAATGCCATGATGATGTCACTCATTAAACCGTAAGTTTCCTACTCATGCGCAAGAGTAAAGTCCCGTAAGCAAGAGGGTGATCCTTCTAAGGAACATTTGCTATTGAAATTGAAAGTAAACTCGATTTGTAAGACATGGTAGGCACCATGCCTGGTAAAAGTTAGTGAGTCGCATTTTCAAAACCCCTGTTGTTACTGTCTCACGTGTTTAGGATGTTAACTATCTCCAGAAGCAGAGCAAATTGTTCACATGGTATCCTTCAGTTAGCTACTAATTTGTAGATTAAGTGCAATAAAATCACAAAATCTCCAGGAGTGAGAAAGGGCCTAAGTTTCTAGAAGAGCTTTGCCTATATATGCACTGACAAATATTTTTAAAATGAGGTTTCCTCTAAATACTCAATTTCACCAGAAAGTAATTAGCATGCCTGGAAGAGTAAATACATAAAAAACAGCTAAGCCCCCAATGAAACCAACGTGGCCTCCTGTGGATGAGCCCAAATGAACCCCTTCTGTTTCCTCAGGGGGTGAGGGCACCTCATCATTCCTACATCGCTATTTCAATGGGACAGTTGTAAAACGCTTTGAACATTCTGGGAAAGTTTTAAGTCTGCCTGTGTTTTTTGCCCAGCTGACTGGAAGTTCAGGATGCCTGCCTGCTGTTCACACATCGTTTCCTTTCCAGCAATGCTCCCTCGGCGGGGCGATGGTTCTTACTCTACAACTGGGTTGGTCTGAAATTGCTTTGTGAAATCCACACTCTATCTGCCCTGGGGAGAAGCTAACGCCTTGAGTTCCTGGACCAGCGAACTCCCTCGCCCTGAACTATGCCCAGTGGACTCCAGCTGAGAAGGTGGAGGTCCGGGGTGGGGGGGAGGGGGGCGTCTACCCAGGTTGCTGGCTTGGCACACCCTTTGATTCTGCCTGAGGTGAGATATTCACTTGCCTCCCTCAGTCCCAGCCCTGGATGCCTTCCTTGGGGAAAGCATTCTGTTAATTCAGCTCCTCACTCTGCAACTGCTGGGAGCCTGATGGCCTATCCTGGGGTGCAAGCCTGGGAAACACTGAAGGGCAATTCTAAAGTCCAGGTCATGACAGTGCTGGGCAGAGAAAGGAGGTATTCTGGGACCTCAAGGACTCAAATATCTGCACCTTATTATCTCACCACTGTCCTCCAATCATCTCCAGCCAGACTACTTATTGGCTCCAGAAGCCGGGACTGTTTCCTATTCCTCCTCTGTCCTCCTCAAGTCCCTTCTGTATTCAGTGAGCATTTGACAACTGTTTAAATAACTCCCCTATCTGTTCAGATCCCCTTCTCACATGAACCCAAGGAAATGAGAGACTCAAAGCATCAGCGAGAGGAAAGAGAGGCTAATGGATGAGGACGCGCTGCGGTGATGCTCCCCCGCCTCACGCTCCCCATCTACCGCTGTGACAGGACTGTCCCTGAAACGGACAGACTATTAAAAGCTAAAGGTAGGGCTCATTCTGTTACCCAGATGGGACGCATTTGGGAGCAGGCCAGCCCAGGCTGATTCTATTCCCTGAGCTCCCTGCTTTCCACCACTGAAAGTGGCCCTGGTCTGAGGCTTCCTTGGCCGCTGTAATCCTGTTCACCACTCCCAGGAGTCACCAGGCCCAAACCTTTAGGGAGGGAATCCCATCTAGGTCACAGGAGGGCCCTAGGATTGCAGCTTCTGGGACAGACATATAAATGCTCTAACCAGCTGCCCTGGGCAGACAACTATCATTCCGTGCCCACACATTCTCCAGTGGAGGCCTGCGGGTCATGTCCCCACGCGGCACGGGCTGGAGCAGGCAGCGCGACTCAGGCAGCCTCCCCGGCGTTAGTATTGCAGTGGGTGTGGCAGCATCCTCAGGGCACGGGCACTGGTGCTTTGGGACGTATGCTAATCCCTGTTTCACATACCTGCTAGTTAACATGTAAAATGTTTAATAAGGATTTCTGCAAAGGGACACCACTTGAGGCCCCTTATTCTGAGTCCCTTAGCCCCAGGGCAGCTTCCGCAGCACATGGAGCCTACATTTAGGGGAGTCCCAGGCCTGCCCCTGCCTCTGGTCCTCTTGGTGAGGATCCCATCAGCTCTGATGATGTTGGAAAAATACAGGACATCATGGGCAGTTGGCTCAGAAAGACCCAGAACATTTCCATCGTACCCACTCTGAGCAAGTGGAATTTCCAGAATGGCCAACAGGAGGTGCTCTGGAGCACCTGTGCATGGTTAATATGGGTGTATTCATGCCCGTGGTATTCGGAAGGGCCACGAGGGCCATGGGCATTAGGATCACCTGGGAAGGTCCTGAGGCACAGCAATGCAGCCTCCCCATGCCCGCCCCAGACCAGTTGAATCAGACACTCAGGATGGGCGTGGGGAACCCGGCTGCTAACAAATACTACACAGGCGTTTAGCACACTAACAGTCCCTGTGGGCACCCAGCAGGGAGTGCAGGAGTGAGTCCTGGGTGATAACCGAGGCCTGGTCAGTGCGCAGGTTTTTCCCTGTGGCTTCCTTGTCAGGAAATACTTGATCCGTGTCCAGGGTAAGTCACTGTTAAATCTTTCCAACTAGTAAACTTACTACTGACCTATCCAGGTGAACACTGACTTTTTAATATGACATTTTTCAGGTGTGAATGGTGTTTTTGTTGGCTCTATAATGTTCCTAGTTGTCTAATGTCTGTCTGTCTATTTGAACCTGCTGCATGAATGGTGTATCTCTTGATTCTTCCTCCTCAACCCCTGCCTGGCTTACCAAGTGTGGATCAGATGCACAGTAACCAGTTATGAATACTGATGAAGCACTGCCTTTATTTTTAACACAGGAACTTTTTTGAAACTAATAGAATAAAGTTTGATAGGGCCAAGTAATACTTTAGGCACTGAGGAAAATGAATTCTAAATAAATTTAAGGAGTTTGGGGGCATGTATTCTTGAGAAGGAAGCTAGATGGGTAGGGGGTGGGCCACAGGCTACAAATGAAAATGGGCTCTACCTACCACTTGACTAATTAAAACAAACCATTCCACGTCTTCCCTTCCTCTGTGCCTGTCCCAAGGCTCCAGTGTGGCCGGAAATGGCCTCCTCTGGCAGCAGAGCCAGTCGGAACTTAAAGCGTGAAACATGAGGTGCTATGCAATGCTGCGTGCCGTTCAGGGAGAACACCAAGGCTAAGCAAACAAGGAGCTTTTAAGGAGAACTCGCCGATACCCAGTAGATGGGCCACATGAAGCCTACGAGGTCTCAGTGGGAAAAAACCAAAGAAACGGGAAGGGCTACACTTGCACGCGAGCCACAGCCAATGCGGTGAAATGAGATCACAGATGGCGACGCTGAGCGGAAGGATGCAGTACCTCGGAGGCATGTTACTTTAACTGGATCCAGAGGGCGTCTTTCGGGACCTGTCTCTCCTGACTGCACTGACCTTTTCCTTTTCCCAAGGCCGCATGAGTACTTAAGCTCATCGGTCGTGAAAACAAATCTGATGAGGTACCGCAGGAGCCGTCGCCCATCTTTCTTTGAAGAATTCACAGCCTCATCCCACTGTTTGCTCGTGATGTAGACAGGATAGTTGTTCAACAGCTGCTTGCTTCCCTGGAAGAGCGAAATATTTTCTCATTACCCACTTAGCCAGCCAGCTAGAAGCCTAGGCGATCTCCATTTCAAAGGCAAACGTGCTTTCTCACCAAGTGGCTGTGGGCTGACAATGAACCAGGTATTGAAGAGCACACGTAATTGCTCACACTCAGAACGGGCACTTTTCAAATTACATTTGCATTTTCTATAACAAGAGCCAATGAGGTATAATGAACACCTTTGAAAGAGGAGCTATTTATAACTTGCATTTTAACAGGTAGGTTAAAATGTGTCAAGATCCAATGACAGGGAACGCTGTTTAAAAAGAACCCGTAACTTTCCTTTTCAGTCCATTAAAATATGCAGAAATGGCTTTGAAGAGTGTGATCAAATAGGCCCCTTCCTCCCGGGGTTGGCAGTGACGTACTTTCGGAAATGATGCTGGGGGTCTATTTTCATGAGGTATCACTTGTGCATATGCACCTAACACCTGATAGCCACTGATGACAGTATAATGGAAACATTAAAAAGTAAATTTAAAAAAGGGGGAATTGTGGAAACTGAAAAAAATATTAATAATAGTACAAAACAGGTGGGTTTTTTTTTCCCAAATTACAGCTTTTGCAAATGCCACTATGTCAATTCAAAATTTTTCGTACTTTTCACCTTCGTAATTTATGTCTGCTATAAAATTCCCAAGCTAAATAGCTGCAGTGGGACTAATTATGGGAATTTCTGTAACATTTATAAGCCATGTTTAGTCAACTGCTCCTACACAACCATTACTTTAGTTCTGGCTGTCCATAAAATTCTACAGTCCAGGACAATTAATTAACCCATGATCTCAGTTTTAATGTACTCCTTCCCCAGTAATTAAGGTGTACCAAATAACGAAGGGAAAATGCATTCCATTTTACAGCTCTGCAAATTTACTACAGGTTATAAATTTGACCATGTTTGGGTCTATTAGGGTTTTATTTCAAAAAGTGTTCTGTGCAGTTGAGCGCTGAGAAGGGCAAACGGCATAGACACTAACAGGAAGGGGACGACCAGATTTGGCTATGAAACTGTCACTGAATTATACACTCATCTCCACAGCATTCATCCTTTCGTGAATGAGCAGTAGTGTGACTCAGTTTCCTTTTTAAGGGAGGGATGTTGCACATGGTTTGTATGTGAATTTAAAGTCACCTTGTTCTTTTTTGGTTAATCCTCACCCGAGGATATTTTTCTACTAGAGGCCCAGTGCATGAAATTCATGTGTGGGGGGTGGGAGGGAGGGGAAGGAGGTCCCCTCAGCCCAGCCTGCACCCTCTCCAATCCAGGACTCCTCGGGGGATGTCCCCCTCACTGCCCCCCTCTGCCAGCCTGGTCATCTTTCACTGCCCCCTCCTGCTGGCCTGGTCGCCCCATGCAGCCTGCTGCTCAGTCTTTTGGTCATTGCTCACTAACTCCCCTGCCGGCCTTGTCGCCAGCCTGTTTGGTCGTCCGTTTGGTTGCCATGGCCCCTGGCTCTTTATACATATAGATTGCTTTTAGGTAGTGGAAGGGGGCAGGCACTGATGTAAGAGAGACATCAATTGGTTGCCTCTTGCACGTGCCCCGATTGGGGGGCAGGGAACAGACCTGCAACTCAGCTACATCCCTTGACCGAGAACTGAACCCATGGGCCACGTGCTGACGTGCTAACCACTTAGCAACACTGGCCAGGGTTCCATTTGGGCTTTAACTGAATCTTGGCTCCGGGTCTTACTTGTTGTGTTTCTTGAGCAAGTTATTACTTCAACTTGTTGGATCCAAGTTTCCCTAACCATAAAATGGAAGGAATTAACTATGTTATCATAGGTTTAAGGTTTAAGATACGAGTATTTGGGAGCATAAATCAACCCTGGCTCTGTGTATTACCACAAATGATCAAGTGATGGGCAGGAGCCCAAAGTCCCAAAGGGCACCTCAGCCAAGGCTGCCGTCTCATGGGGGAGGTGAGATGGAGGAATGACTCGAGTCTGTGGCAGTGTAGATGCAGCAGCCAACATGAAAGATGTAGAATCAAAGGGGTCAGGCAAGCAATTCAGAGAGCTACGGTTTGGGAGCCTGGGGAGTCCAGATGATTTCCAGGAGAAATGGGTGCCCTTCACAAAGATAAAGGTCAGAGGGTATATCCGGGAGGAGACAGAGGCAGGTAGCAAGGAAGAGAATTCCACTGCTTCCCATGCACAGGGAGGGAAGGGGTCACAGGGTTCTGATTGGCTGACCCCTCAGCCAGGAGCGCAGCCCACTGGGGCCTGGGGAAGGAGGGATCCAGGGCTCGCTGCCTCAGACCACGAGCTATGTCAAAAGCGTTCCTGTGGAAGAGCCTCCCTAATAACTGTCACCATGTATCGAGCCACGGTGAGCAGCCCCAGGCTGCCACATGTACCCTGTACCCCTGGCCACAGGCCGAGATGCCGGTGTAAGCCCACAGTGTGGGCTCTGGTGCAGGTCCCGGCCAGGTGACACGTTCTCTAAACGTAAGCTGTCTTCTGTCCCAATAAGGGTAACAATCCCAGCCTGCAGGTCTGTGGGGAGGAGTCCACCAATCTCCCCACCAGGAGATAAGCCCACGGGGCCTGGGATGATTATCTGCTTTAGTCTGTGTCTTCTTCCAGGGCCGAGAACAGTGCACGAGAGAGCAGGTGCGATGAACATCTGTGACTGACGATGCAGTGCACGCCACCGCCACCAGCACATGGCAGACACTCAGTAATGCGCTGCAATGCAGGCTTCTTGCCTTGTTTTTAATCCCTGCAGCATTGGGACACTTGAAGAGCTTCTGACTCTAATAAACTGGCGAAGATAAAGAACTTTAAGGAGACCATCAAAGTCAGAGGGCCATTGAAAAGGACGATGAAGACAGAGGAGTCCCACCTTAAGTGAAAACCAGCTTCTCAGGTATAGTCCCTGTAAGCACCTGTCAGCCTGGGAAAAGGAGACCGTGCAGCTAGTTTTAAACCTTGTGGTCATTCAACACTGCACAAGTTTTAAAAGGGCTTTCCCTTGGGTGCGTGAGCTCATCCGACAAGCTAGGATTCCCACAGCTGTTTGGCCAAGGAGGTTAAGTCCTTTCCCAAGGTCTCCTAAGCCAAAAGGCAGAGCTGGGAACCCTGCCCCCGATTTCAGAGTTCATCTCTCGGGCCAGAGTTGAGTCTATTTCAAGACAGGTGGTACTTGAGATTAGGGAGAGACAGTATGGGGAAGGAGCTTTCTCAAATCCTTACAAAATATACTCAGACACCTTTCCATGAAATGTAGCACTCATAAAATATAGAAATAGCATCCGGAGGCAGTTTTCTTAAGAAAGAAAAAGGAAGTAATTTACAGCTTAAAACAACTCAGAATGCTCTGTGTTGTGGATGAGATTTACTGTTGGGGTCCAACCCCAGCAGGTCCAGGGGTTCCCCATAGGTGTGGACGGAGTCGGCGAAGAAGGAAGGACACAGAGGCAGCGTTCAGTTGATCTGCAGCCTAGCCAGGCTCTCTAGCCAGGATCTACAGCCAAGTTCTGGTCTGGATCTCCAGCGAAGATC